TCTTTTACCAAGAATAGATTTGATGAAATTCCTCATATAATTAGAAGAGAACCAATGGTACATTTAGGCCACATAAATGGCTTAATTAGGATCAATTTGGCTTGATTGATTATAGCATGAAAGAACACACAGATGTATTTTATGACCATCTCCTTAAAATAGAAATTAATTTAGTTTAGTATGGCAGATCTGGGACTGCACAAGTGAACTTCATGACACAAGCCGTAAGCCAATATTCAAAGTATCACTACAAAGCAAAAAAAAAATTAAAAAAACCCAAAGCCATTCAAAAATCAAAGGCAAACATTCTTCTCTGTTAAAAATCCTCAAAAGAAATAAAGCTAGTTACAAGGAAAGACTGCATCTTCTGTAATTCCAATTTCAGATCATGCAATTTTTTTTGCTTTTCTCCTTCTGGACCAGTTGCCATAATTGGGGTCAACAGCAGCAGCAAGTTGTTGTTAAAAAGCTGACCTCATCTCTAATTAAAATTGTCCAGCCACATCTTTGTCTAAAAGTAGAAATACTTCCCCCATATAGAAACACCTACAAAATGTGGCAGGACCAGCTTTTAAAACTTGCTTTATTTTAGAACTTAATTAGGGTTTTCAATATCCTACTGTAAAGCAGATTTTTATGTCCTTGAATCAGTGTAGGTCTTTCTCAGAATCCTTTCATATATATCAATATTCATTTTGAAGGCCAGATAACAGAAGCAGACACTGTCTTGCAGCCTGTCTTTGCCCTGCACAGTGAAAATAACTTCTTGCTATTATTCAATAACCTTCCACTTAGACTTGAATAAGGATCACATGTAGCATTTTTAGGCTACTGCACTGCTCTGAAAACTCAGACCTACCTCATTAGAATTCCAAAGTCCTTTAAAGAGTTTCCACTTCCTAAATATATTTATGTGTTTACACAGACAAATGTCTTTACACAGAGTATCTTACAAGCACCTTGAGGACAAAAAAATCTACACAATATCAATAGCCTGATTTCAAGAGTAACACAATTGAAAAAAAGGGAAAATTCAGAGAGGCTGCTGTTACACTCTGTTCTCTCAAATTGCCATTCTCCAGTTTGCTTCACAGAATTGGAACTTGTTTGAATTAAAATTTAATTAATGAAAGTCACTGTATAAAAACAATGTTAAGAATCAGAACTAGAAATGAATCCATTTTTCCTGCAAGTTTTTATAAATAAGAGTGAGACATGGGAGGAAAACATAATTCCTACAACTGTACCCAAGTTAAAGGCTTTTTTAGGCCAATACTAAATATTCAGCTGATTTCCATAAAAAACTACTGTCAAGGAATATCTAGTTCATGGAGTGAAACTTTTTAATTTATTGCAATTAATTCTGTACAACTTTTTATGGTTTGATTTTGCAATTTTTATTTAGTCCTTTTGATTACTCTTGCCAGATAGTCTTTAATAAATTAAACATTCATTTTGTGTACCCACAGTATCCTCGTTCTTGAATTATACATATAAACATATTAGTTAATTCATATTTTAAGATTGTAGTTCAATTAATACTTAAAAGCTGGCACTACCAACAAATGAAGAGCCCTGCCATTTTCTCCCCTCCGGGTATCCCTTCCTCAAAAGCATTAATTCATCAAACCATAGTTAGAGGCAGCAAAATCAATATTCAAGGATAACTGCAGGAAACTGTGTTTCAGGTTTCCTTTTTCAAGTTATCTTTCATCTTTAAGGTTTTTAGGCCTTATGGGAAGGAACACATACTGTTATTTAAAGCAGGTAGATAGCTTCTTCACCTCCACATCCCTTCATTCTCCAGCCTGGAATGCAGATGTGACTTCTAACATACCAATATAATACAATATAAGTACATTAATCTGTCCTTCCTGTTAATCTGTTTTTTCATTTATTTTATGATTTTTTTTGTCCAGTTATTTTATGGATCCCTTTCAATTTATTATTGGGGAATGCCACCATAATGTCATAAATCAGCAAGTAAAAAATGATAAGAAGAGGCTCTGTTCTAGCATGCAGCAATGATAACAGAACATTATGACCCGGCTAACTAATTAATTTAAAGAAAATTAATTAAAAATTTAATGATAAATATGTCTTCAAAAGTTCTTTATGTTTTGTCTCATTACTAGTAAATCATTCATGCTTCTTATAAAAATTCCTACCTAAATTATTCATAAACAGTTTGACCATAGATATCAAAGGAAAAAACTACAAGAAAGATGTAATTACAGGCAATATATAATGTTAGAACTAAAAAGAGCATATATACAACCATCTCCTAAGATGTTTTTCTCTAGAATGACAGTATGAGTGAAACAAAGGACAAGGAAAACTTATGCCAGAGTGTAAAATAACTGCTGTATTTACAGAACTCTGCAATAGAATTCTCAATCATTTCATAAATTTAAGCCAGAAAAGCTGAACTTGATGCCAGAACTACCATGTCAAACATGAAGAACAATTCCTGCAAGACATGACGTGGGCTGAGCTGACCCTCAATTCTTCTCAGATGAGAACAGGTCTTATTAATCTTCTGCTATCAGGCAAAAATCAGCTTGCTCATTAAAATTCACTCTACTTCCCAAATTCCAAAAACAAGTTCAGTTTTTATAACTAGTTAGGAGAGGACTAGACAAAGAAAGTTCCAGAACTATATGCATTCTTGGCTTATATAAGTCTCTTAATTCTTTGGAGAAGATACTGTGATCTAAATTGTCTCACTGAAGATAAAGTTCAGAAACTGCAACATTTTATGCTGTGAATAAAACTAAAAAATGTCAAGCAGGAGCAACTGAATTAAAAAGAGGAAAGATAGATGTACAAATTTAAACAATTTTGTCATGAAGCACATTTTACTAAATTATTATCTATTCAGGTCTACAAATTACATGAAAGCATCTCTCTTAGAGGATAGATACATTTTTCTGGCTTGTTGGCCTATTTCTATCATTTACAATGAACACTTGATAAAATTATACACTTGTATGAATATTTTTGAAACATGATTTTAAAATATTTAAAAATCCCTACACTACATAGGAGAAATGTTTAGCTTATGAAAAGTGAAATTTGATAAATGTCAATGCATTTTCATAAGTTTATTTTGAAAATCTAGAAAATCCCATGCTGGCTTCAGAATTTGTAGAGAAAAAAAAATTTAAGGTGTGGTTTTGTAAACAATCCATTCCTAACTAGAATTAAGACTTTCAGACTTATATATCCCTGATAAAAAAAAAACAAACAGGGAAGAAATAAACAGATATACAAGTAAATAAAAATCTATATAGATTTAGGGAGACATAAAAAGCACACAGAAATCTTCAGCAAGATGCACTGTCTAAAATTTAACAGCAATTAAGAATCCAGTGAAGACTACTGAAGCCACACTGAGGATAGTGAAGAGCTTGCTTGTATCATTCATCCTCACTGACCAAGCATTGCACAAAATCAGAGTTTAAAACAGTTTATAGCATGTGTGGCTGGCCAACAGGCTGACTACATAAAGATTGTTTTTCATCCCTCAATGTCCCCTAGCTCTAGAATATCAAAACTCAAATTAGTGGCATTCAATATTTTTAAAATAATTGATTGCATCAGGGTATTTCATGCACTCAGCCTTCAAATTATTCATCCTGATCTAGAAACTAATTAAAAAGGAAAAACAAAAACAACAACCCCCCAAAAAACCCAAAAACCCTCAAACAAAACGTGGGTACCTAAAATGAAGCATTATTTGTATTTTCATCAGCAATCACCCACATTACAGGAAATCATGATCTATTTAAATAGTTTTTATTAAAGTATAGTATCTTTTGAAGCCATGTGTGCATGACTCCACTGTTTTCCAGCTTACTGTATTCAGAAGTTGCTCAAAAAACTGCCTGCATCTAAATTCTGGAGTCACATAGAGGAGTCCGCTGAGAGCAATGTCCAGACGGTAGTTTCACTTACTAACCTCGTCTAACAAGAATAAAACTTCATCTGGAGTTCTCAATATCTGTTGTCCATTGATAGTTGTTTTTAAAAAATATCCAACCATTTCTAAGAAACACTTTTTTTTAAAAAAAAAAAATCCCATTCACAAAACCCACTAGAATTCTCAAAGCTAAGTTCTGCAGCATCTTGAAGCTCTGAAGAACAGATGCTATTTCGATGTGCAAACGCTGTTTTAATGTGTAAACATGCAAGTTTACATGCACTCTGTAAATTGGATTTTGTAAATCTAATTAAGTTAATTTCAGACCTGTAAAACTTTAATAGTTACTTTAAGATTCCATATGCACTGGGTATGCAATGTCCTAGTGAAAAGAATGAAGATGTTGGTATGTTCTGACTACCAATCACATGGAGAAAGATGTCATTTAAAACAAATATTGTTTACTTTCACACAAACAAAGCTACCTGATCTTCCAAACATCAGTGCCCATCCACTTATTCTAGGCAAATTGCTCCACATGATATAAGAATGGAACAACTTGCTGAGGTACAAATAAAATTAATATTTAACATTGTCATTGTTTTTACAACATGAATTTTGGATCTGTTCAGCTTGCATTGGGAATTATTTCAATTATTTCTTTATTTTGTTGAGGTGCGAATGACTATTGGATAGCATTCCTTTTGTATTTCTATTGCTTAATATTGGCAACATCCCTTATTTTTTGAAGTTTATTAACAGCAGCCTCTATTGAATACTCTCCTCCCATGAAAATTAGATTAATACCTAGCAGAGAAAACAGCAGCAGCCTGCTGAAAAATTTTAATTTAAATCTCAAATAAAAAACTTTTCTATTAAAAAAAAAACTCTGCCAATGGAGAGCTATCTTATCAAGGAACTTCTTTCAATACAACAGACAAGATGTAAAAGGTGCTTACACACACAACTGCAGTCATAGTCATCATGCTCCACACAACATGGAGGAGACAACAAATTAATTCTGTGGGAATGGCGCTGCCAAAAGCCAGGAGAAATGCTGTGAGTGGTGAAGCCTTACCTGACCAGTGGCCAGTGGTGGAGCCCGCTCTGTCGGTGCAGGTCTCGCTGACGGGCCGGAACACGGTCTCCCAGCCGCCGGTGGCGTAGCGCCAGTTCTGCGACTCCAGGATGAGCGTGCGCTGGGTGCCGTACGCGATCATGAAGCAATACACCACGTGGTGAAGCTGGCAGCCGTAGCCACAGCCTTTGTTGATGTTACACACAAGTTTCTTAGCTTTGCTGCAATCCTTCGGGTTCTGTGAGGACGGATGAAAAAGTGGAGCTGAAGAGAATATACACCAAAGGCTTGCATTTTTCTGAAAAACTGGCAAATGTCATAAATCACAGAAGCCATCCCGCTATAATACATCTCCAATTAAAATGGATGAGTAAGCTTCAGCTCCATGAAAATTTTATGTGAATTCTTCACTGTGAACATGAGCAGTTATTGAATGTTCTTCACTATCCCAATGTACAATAGAATACATTCAAGATTTTAAATTACTTCCTCATTTGTAAATCTGTCAGAATAAGCCAACATTTGGACTCCGAATTCACGTTTCATCAACACAATTCTCAGTGTTGGAATGCTTTTTCCTTTGGCATTTTTTCAAATTTTTTAGTTGTCTTTCAATAAACATGCATGTCATCCAATAAAAGAAAATTTCCACCTGTCTACAATGTACAGAATAAAACAAATGGTACAGAATAAAATAAATGGTACAGAAAAAAACAAATGGTACAGAATAAAACAAATGCTTATTAAGGAACTGCTTCCCAGGCTAACTGACCACATAGTAAATACAGAATGTAAAACACATTCAGCAGACTGAAAAAGGACAAAATTTTAATCTGCATACACTTTACATAAAATAACATACTTCACTTCCAGAAACCAAGAAACCACAAGTTAGGAGACAAATGCCCACACTGTATGAATGCTATGTTTAAAAGTACAAACTAATAAATATTTTTATGTATCTGGAATTTTTAGGTATGTGGACAATACAACATCATAATCAAAAGAAGTTTTCCATTACATAAAAGAGAGTACTTTTTTGTATGTATTCATACTTGCATGGCTCTAGACACATTTCTAAATTCCAGAAAGGTCTTCCATAACATCTCTAGGATGAAAGTTTCAGATAAGTTGCCAAAATACTGATATTCGAGCATCAATATAAATTTTGTTTCTTTCACATCTAAACAACTTTAAATACAATTTTCTGTAAATTTGCAACAAAAAAATCAAATCTTAAAAAAACACTGATCCCTGTCTGGAGCACTGAGATCTCTCCTTCAAGTGCTCTTAAAGATAATCTGAACATTCTGAATGCTAAAATACTTTCAAAGAAAATTAATTTGTGCTTTTGGTGGTATAAAGGAGGGGAAAATAATTCAGACTGGGGGGGGAAATAATAAAACATCCAAAACAAAACAAACCCAAAACTCTACAACATGTGCTATAACTTCAGTATTTTTTTTTTTAAATACACCTGATTCAAAGCCTAACTAGGTGTGAAAGTAATAAATTATATTAAATTTCCATTCCAAATTTCTGTTTCTCAGACCAGTACTTTTGTCATTACAAATCTAATGGATAACTTGAGACTAAACCTAACAGTTATCTTTGAAATTACAACAAATGTATTTCCCCATTTCAGAAGAGAAAAGGGCCTTTCTAGTATTCTCTACAAGCCCACACAGAAAGATCTCCATCATATCATTACTATCAGCAGTATTATATTTTTATTATTACTGTTGTCATTGATATTATTATATTTGCTCAGTTTGAGTTATTAAGCTGTTCTTACGTCAACCCACAATGGGGTTTATTTGTGGGTTTTTTGTATGTTTGAGGATTATTTCCATTGATTCTCCTCCCTGTCCCACCAGGGAGGAGGAGGAGTGAGTGTCATGGTGGGTACTTTGGTGCCAGCTTGGGTAAAGCCACAACACTATTCTTTTTGAAAGGGATAATCTCTGTGAATTTTTAGAAAATGCCCTTAGATTATATTTTCTACACTTGCCATTACCTCCAAATGCTTGTGTCCTCTAAAATGAAAGCATTTAATCAATGGCATATTTGAAGTATTGTCAAGGTGTGCCCTTATCACTTTCTTTCATGCAAATGCAAGCTTCATATAATAGTTTATGAACAGTATTATGGAAATCAAGTAGTAATCACACAATGAAACATAATTTGATCGTGTGACTGCTTACCAATATTAATATGATGCATCTACTTGGGTTTTATCATTATTTGTAGACTTAACTAAAAACTATATCTATTAGTATTATTTTGTGACTTAAAAAGGAAGCTATTTAACCAATTTCTTTATGACTGTGAGTTTTTTTTGATTTGATATACTCAAGTAGCAAAAAGGCAAAGCAGTATTTGAGCTTCAATTGTCTATTGAGAATTTTAAAAGAACAAGGGAAGTAGAGATACTTGGATATATTGCCATTTCAACTGATGTTTCCAGGAAAAAGTGGAAATATTACCCATTGATAAGGAAGAAAAGTTACATTTCATGCATCAGAATAGCTTGGGTGTTCATAACCAAAACTGCCATCTAAAGCAACCAGTCAAAATATTGAGCTGATAAAGGATAACAGTCAATTTCAAAACCAATTGGTTTTGAAATTGGTTTCAAAACCAATTAAGACTGACAAAAGAGTTTTCCTCCTGGCACAAAAGTCACAGAAAAAGATTATAAATCCCTGATTTGAATGGGTAGTACATTCTGTTCTCAACCCTAATGACACTGCTCATCACATTCCTATCTCCAATTTAATGATCTACATAATCAAGAGAGAGATGAAAGGGACCTCCACGAATGTCAAGCCCTGTAAAGTAACAGCCATACAACTGCAGTAAAAACAAATACCAGAAAAATCCAAACAAAAATTAAACAAACTCCCACAAAATCCCAAACAAACAAAAAAATCTACCAAGCTAACCAATCACACAAAACATACTTTAATATAGAGAAGATTAGATCATCAAGCTGTTCCAGAGTTTACACCTTTTATCTTCCTCAGAATAACTTCTATGAACAATGCCACTAAAAACACTGGAACTTCGAAACTTTGGAAAATCCCATTCTTTTTAGAGAAATATGACAAAAATGGGTGTTTCTCATCCTAGTTATCACAAATGCAATTCATACCATCTTCTATTCCCCTTCTTTTGTGATGTCATTTGTAATCCTTTCTTTTCATACCAGCTCCCCTCAAGAGTTTGGGGGCAGAAAAAAATCCAAAGAAAGAAACAAAAAAACCATACAAAACATCAGAAGTTTCTTCCAGCTGCTGGAAGAAAACATTCTCTAGAGATCTCAAACCTTCCTCTAATGTTAATTCCTCTAGTTTGCACCTACCCTCCTACAACACGCAAGTTTCAGCTGGAGTGAAACATCCCAGCATGCAGATGGACTTAAACACACTGTGTTCCTCAGTCCTAGAGAAAACCTCACACAGATATCAGCACTGATCACACTTTCTTAGGTGGCCATTATACCAAAACCATATAATATACTTTTGATTTGATTGATTACAGCTGTATGGGGTGCATCCCTTTGCATGAATGCCCAGAGCCTTTTCTTATTGTCATTTTAGCATGAGCACTTTTATTAAAAATATCAATCAGTAACTTTAATGTGAGGGAGAGGATTTAATACACTTTACAACAGAAAAATCTAAGAGACATTAAATGAACAAAAATACTGCAAACTCCCAAAAGCTCAGAAAAAGTCTTGTGACCAACTTTCTCTTCTTTGCATGCATACAAAGTCCCAGCTAAATAGTATGGCAGAATACGACTAGAATATGGCAAACTATGACTAATATAATTCTTGTGTTGCTGAGTACTTAGAAACCTTTCTCACCTGATTATATTTTTAACCTTCAAAGCTGAACAAAAAGTTGTTGGTTTTTTTTTAAATCAGAAGCAAAAATACTCTGCTATTGCTAGACTGCATACTGAATCACAAACTTCCTAAAATAAACAGAACAAAAATAAGCACAAAAGAGAAGGGACAGAAAACTGCTGCCTTCATAATCATTTACTCACTTGATTACAGTACTACAAGGTGCTCTCATCTGACTTCTCTTGCACATTCTCTTCAACTGTTTGATAAAAAACATCTCTGAAAATAAGGCCTTTTTCCTAAATATCAAGTCCTAGCTTGTTAAATGTTGCTCCCACTATAGGGAGCTAGCTACATGTAGCATCATTAAATCAAATTTATGGTAATGTCACCCAAATGAAATAGCAGTCATCACTATTCACAATCATACAGCTAAATGACTTCCCAAGGAGATGTCCCAAAATAATGCAGCTGTCACTGTTCAACATGTACCAGAAAAAAACTATGCAGTACTTTCATACTTAACTAAAAAACAATTACAAATATATCCCAAATAATTCTTTTTGGCATCAACTTGAGGAGCAGGGGTCGCTGAATATTTTATTTTTTAATACATTTTATTATTAATAGAGGTATATAAATGTGTATAATTTTGAACGATTTGATCACTTTATATTGGTGAATATTTGTTAAAGCAAATAACTTTGTGCTCTTTTTGATGACTTGCACAGTTATATTACTAAATAGGACAGCAAATGGATAATGAAAGACAAGAAAAAGGTAGAGAAAGTCTATATTTATCAGCATGAAAAGCAGTTACAGCATACTACTGCCAAACAGTAGTATCAAAATGAAAAATAAGGAACAGTTCTCAGAAATGAGTTGAAGAAGTACAATAAAGTAATGACTCCTGCACAACTTAGGGAGATGGTTTTTTTCCTCAGAAGGGTGTCTTTTTTATATAACAAGCAACAAATACTTAGTTTAGTCACAGTAGAAAGGGTTCCAACAGCTCAACTGTGAAATAATGAAAATCTGAGAAACAAATTCAGCTATTTACACAAGAGAAAAGATCAGGTATTAGGAGTGACCAAACATCTGCACACAAGGCTATAAAAAAATAAACCAAGTACAAACAAAACAGACTACATTAAATGTCTTTTTGATCACTACATAAATAGCTGCATGCATTCAGTCATGAAAAAAAGTCCCAACACCTTCAGATCAAGTTTAAATTTTATACACACACACAAGCACATATATTAAAAATGCCTTATGCACTCAAAAATATGAGCACCTAGAGACATCCCAAACAGATGTTGAAACAATTTAGAACTAGACAATACACTATACAAGCACTTCAATTTTACTTCCTTAAGTTTTTAGAAATGGGCTGCCAGCTCAGAAATTTGATACAAAGACTTTTATATTTTTATTTTTTTAAATTATGCAAACATTTATGCATTTTGGTACTCTAAAGAATAAAACTTAAAAAAATTCAAGAGAATTAACTATCTTTTACAATAAAGTGAAGAATTCAAACAGGTTAGTATAGTCCAGTAAAAACTACAGATCAAAAAAATCCCCACAAACAAAGAAACAAATAAACCAGAATAAACAACAACAACAAATACAAACTCCAATGACTGCCTTGGAATATTACCTTCCATATACATATAAAATGATGTTTGAAACAAATGCAACAATTTATTTTCTACATAATTCATCCATACACCAACATTCATTTTAAACTGCAATGTAATTATTCTACTGCAAGGTTTTAGCTAAGTGCTATGTATATAAGAAGAAAGAAGTGTTTACCTGGATTCAAAAGCTGTATCCTCTTACCTGTAAATAAGTTATTCTTCTCTGTACCAAATCTGTTAGATCTTTGGCCTCTTTTTCCCGCCAGTCTCCAGCTCCATCTGTTTGACTGAGGTAGTACAAGTCGGTCATTATCGACCTATAAGCAACCATGGAAAACAATTTTAACGTTACTAAATTGGAGGATTAAATGAAATCAAAGACAAATTAAAGTGATATTTCAATTGCAGCTTCAAAATCAGTTTCTTCATGCCATCTCCTACTGCACAATTCAAACAGCAGCCAAGACAGACTGACTGTGTCCTTCATCTAACAAATGTTCCATGTCCATTAGCAATTAAAAATTAAAAATTCTAAACAGACTCACAGCCTTAAATACTAAATGGAGATTATCTAATACCTTAGAGATTCTCTTCTTAGGGTTTTAACATTTCATTGGCCAAATAAGAGAATAAAGAACTCATCATCATGAAAATAAAAATGTTATATAGCATTTATTTGTTAAAATTTGCAGGCTAGTCAAAATTACTGATTTTGTCCAAACAGTACCACTTTGGAAAAGATTTTTTTTTTTAAACCTCTGTGGGTTTTGGGAAGAAATAGAGAACTAGAGACAAACTATTCAAAGTGTTTCTAGTAACATTAATGGTTACTCTAAAAATAAAGGTGGCCCAATTCAGAACCAGTAATTTCAGAGTTGGTTTCATAGATTGAGAATATTTAATATTGCTAAGCATTTCTCTGTAACAGTGCTAAAGTTTGAACCACTTTTCTTAATATTTTCATCTTAACTTCAGATGCTGCTATTTATTGCCTGAAATTCTTGATAAACCACAAGTATGATCACTAGAAAGAGAAGCAACAGAACAAAGGCAGAGAAATTTTGGAGGTGAACAAAAAACAGTGTGAGGGTAAGAAAAAACATTTGAAGTGGTCTTGTCAAGCTGTTGGCAACACTTGTTTGCAATGGAAGCACAAACCAAATTAGCCAAGGCTATCCCTTGTACACAAGTGAGAAGAGCAGGCTGCATATCCCTACTAGGAAACCACTTCCAATAACACAATATTTAAGCAGTAAACATTGAGATAAATCAAATCAGGGCAGCCCTATCTTTATCAGCCAAGTTATCAGACAAACTTTTCTTGTTAATTTAATAACTGGATTTATGGATCTGTAGTTTTATTCTCATACAGTCATTCTGGTCTTTATCTCCATGCTTTTACACAGGGTAACAGAGACACTGACTATAGTATCTATTATTGTTGTATTAAATGTTTTACCCAAATTATTCAGCAGCAGTAATCTTCACCTTCTGTCAATCAACTGGTAGAACCTTATCTACATTCTAATCTGAAACAATATAAACTGGATTTTCTTTTACAAGGTAATTGAGCTTGAAACATCCTATTGCGGCTTTGCATAAAAATTAATTTGAAGCATCACTGGGTAACTAGTTTTAAATCAGTAACTATTAAAGATACATAATACTCACAGTAACATGCACACACAGTTTAAAGAGAATTAGAACAGAGCTAATGATGGACTAGTTCTAATGTAATGGATTATATACAGATAACTGAACAGATAAAGGCTCTGCTCCTCTTAGGACAGTTTCCCTATTTATAGAAAACACATAGGCTAGTAAGCATACTAGAAAAGGAAACCAATGCATTTTCTTGGGAGTTTAAATATATTTTTCCTCCCAATCAGGACGTAACCATGTTGGGTGTTTAAAGAAAAAAATCACAAAGTTAATGTTTCAACATTAAAAAAATGAAAAAAAATCCCTCTCATTACAAGCAGTCGTGCAACCTCACAGCCACATTTTAAACCATTTTCAAAGGCTCTTTCATTAGCCTTAAAATGTCTTTTGTGTACCTGGGATGTAAGTAATCAGTGTACTCTCCCTATACTTTACAGAAATATATTTCCATTAAATATTGAAAATATTTAATATTATATATTAATATAATAAAATAACTGAAAAGACAAAGCTTACCAATTAAAAAGTAACAACAATAAAATAAAAATTTCTGTCAGCTTAAAAGTAATTTTTCCTATTTCTAGGGAAAAAAAGTGTTGCCCAATTTATTTTTTTTTTTTTTTAGATTATTACCTATGGCGACCATGACAAAGAAAAGGCAGTAGCTTAGTTTTAATTATCAGCCTTATAGATGAAATATAATTACTTTGATAATTTTTGAGGTAAGAGAAATGGTGAGAGTGTCCTTACACACCCTCAGTGACTCACCACATTAGGTAAAGGGAGCTTTGTTCAGTACAAACCATAAAAAGTATCAAACGATTTGCAGGAAATGCCATGAATTCATGAAAGAGTTTTCAGAGTGTATCCATAATCTTCTTTAAAAAAAATTATAAAACCTTAAAGTAAACCAGGAAGTGAAAAATTCACTGCTGCTATCACACAGAAATGATTATAAGGTAGCGCTATTTTAAGACACAATCACAGAGACTTTCTTTCTTTGATTGTTACCGCTCAGAAACGTGCATTTCCTAGCCACATCTGTCAGGGTTTTTTGAGTGCGACAGATCACTGTGATAACTTATTAATACAGATTTAGGAGAGACACAAATACCAAAGACCAGGGTCATGCCGCATGAGCGGAGAGTTAAAAGCGCAGGGAATGGTGACCCATGAGCCCAAGATAGCTCAGTGCAGACAAAGGATGAGTTTGAACAGGGTTGTTAGGGGCTACTGCAGGTGGTAAAATGGCAGGAAACTTCACACAGCAGCACTGCAGATATTTACTGCATCAAACTTGGTCTTTCACTGGGTTACTAACCAACAATATCAACTTGTTGCTGTTGCTTCAGATCATAAAATAAATCTTGGAGCTACACATAAAAGCATTTTGCTCCTGGAAAGCAGAATGGAGGAAAAAATCTGGCTGTGTTTCATCCGTATTTGATTGCCAAAATAAAGAGGGAAGGGTGAGTATTTCTAACAATCGGGCTAGACATTTATTCCAGTTGTATGAAAACATACTTTAAACCTCCTAAAAATTTTATATTAACAAATAAAAATTCAAACAAAAATATGTAATTCAAAGGAAATCATGTGAAAATTTGTCCAAACACTATGCATCAAAGGTTGTTCAGTTACCACAAAATCCCTGATGACAGCTACTCCCCAGGAGATGGAATGAAACTAACTCAGTAACAGCCACCTTGCAAACAACTTTTGTCAACACAGGAAACAACCATGACAACTAGAGGATTAAGTTGCTCTTTTTTAATAACTCAATATCAAATAGTCTTTCCAATGTTTAGACGAATTTACTCTCAACAGCCCTCTTCCCTATAGCAACTACAAGAATACAATTATGTCATTCTCAAGGAAACTCTTACGATGGGCAACTGTTTCTCAAACAGAATCAGTACTGCAATATTTAACAAAACCATATGCAAGACCAGCACTCTCCTAGAGAAAATCCACATACCTCCTTGGACATAGCCAACAGTGATTAAGGCATCCAACAAAGAGCACTATCATGTATGTAGCGAACAATTTGCTTAACATCACCAAGATTAACAAAGAACTCTAATACTACTTGTCCAGAACCACAGAAACTGAAGTTTAGCATCTCTGAGAAAGCAAGTCTTAATCCATGACACAGCAGGCTTTCCTCACAAACAAAATGAAATAAGTATTAGTCTCCTTCCTTACATAGCGAACTCATCATTTCATACCCACCTCTTTGTTCTCTCACATAAGGACAGCATGAAAAACTCCTTTAAATACTTATAATTAACACTAATATTTCTAATCCAAGCACTAGATTATAATACATATTGGAATTTCTGAGATATCTGTATGTATATTTATATGTGTGTGTATATATATATATATATAAAAGTAATACCATCTGCACTTGCAGTGTTCCATTTATCTAAAATATAACTTTTTAAGACAGCTCTGCACACAAGAGAGCATTTAGCAACAGGTTTAATCCCTTTAAAAGAATTCAAAAAACGTACATGTACTTAAAAAAACCATCCAAACAAACAGTAATAAGTAAAAAAACAAAACAACAAAAACCCATACAAACAAAACAAAAAATAAACAAAACAAAAAACAAACAAACAAAAAAACAAACAAAAAACCCCTGTGTTTCTACAGAGTGAATGAGAACATCTGATTTGCTCATTCCAAACTTATGCTATGTTCCTTTCAGAGAAGTGACCAGATGGGCAGTGTGCAGGGAAGATGAGACCGCTCCTTCCCTGGGGAGCTCCTGTGCATTGTAAGGGAAAAGAACACCCCAGAGACAGCAGTGCATCACTTGCCAAAGGATGTGCACACAAAGAACTGGGAATTTTCTTGCAATTCACAAAACAAGACTGAAAGATTAAAGGGAAAGAAGGAGACAGCTTGACCTCAAAGGTGCAGGAAAAAACTTCCTCAGGACTAGAGGCAACCAAGAAGTTCATTCAAGTGCAACACAAGATAATTCTACTGCTTGAAGGCAACACAGCAAATGCACCAGGAACGCAGGCTGAATACTGTAGAAACATTTTTGTATCCATCTTTTTCTAATGCAATTCCTCTGAACTTCTATAGTGTAATCAGATTGTCTAGATTCAGTTTAATAAAAACTAGTTTATGGCTGTTTGATTTTAGCTTAAATGACTTTGGTCTTCTTTGAGGATACACAGATATTCTTTCAGGTCTACACAGATATATTACTAAGACTAAAGAGACTACAGATTATTCTATATTTAATAACCACCGTGACAACTGAAAGAATACTTGTACTCAAAACAAAAATCCTCAGAGGAAAAGAGCAGTTGTGATTGCTTGCACCATATACCAACTTCTTTCAGTACCACAGTGAGATTCATCTCCCAACTTCCAGAGGTCTACAGGGCAGTTTTATAATTCAATGCAAAGGAGTTTATGCACCTTTCGAATGGGTTTCACCTCATCCTGAAGTATAGAGAGATGTGAACATAAGGGTGTCAGAAATGCAAAAACTTGCAAATTAAGACTTAATGAATTAATAATCATTGGTGTAGAATGGAAAGGACCAAGGAAAAGGACTCATCCTGGGAGGTGGCAACATAAAACCCTTCTGTCATCAAACACACACATTATTCAAGGTTTCACTGTGGTGGCTGCCTCATCCTGGCTTTATAAACAGAGCAATAATGTGCACACAAGTGATCGTGTTACCATGACAGATGTCAGAAAGTCTGCTATTAGACTACTTGTTCCAGTCTTTAGCAGAGATAGTCTAAAAGGCACAAAAGAATCCATAACCTAAAGTTCAAGAAGCCCAGATGGAAATAACTTCTATGGAGAAGAAATATTTCTGAGAGGAGATAAATATTGAAACAAACTGTCCAGGGAAGAGGCAGCTTCTCTGTCAGTTCACTGTTCAAGTGAAGATCTCAAGCCTTCTGGAAAATTCTGCTTCAGCCAAGCACTACTTTCATTTCAGTCAAATATATAAAACTGCACTTGGCAGAGAACTAATTGGATGAAATTTAATCATGTCTTTTATATAAATAATAACCCTCAATAATTGAATAGTACCTTCTCACTTTCAACTCAATCAATCTGTGACAAAATGGATTTTGGAACTGTGGAATAATAAATTACAAAATTTAATGGACTACACTATTTTCCCATATTAATAATCAAGTTCATATTGTCTTTATGTTTTAAATAGTGTTTGCATTATTTCTAAGGAATTGAAAATTCTTATGATTTTTTCCCTTTACTATATTATTATTTTCAAAGGCTCTTGCCTTATTACTGATGTTCACACATGGAAATCACAGCTTTTTTCAGGGCATTGATTTAAGGTAGTATATTTAGTTAATTCAACTATTTTTGTACAGCTGTTTACTGATGAGTCACAAACTGTCATTGCAATCCTGTTGGGAACAGAGTTATGTTTAAAGACAGATGTCAATGATTTTTTAACAGTTCCTGGATTTATTTTTTTCAGCACGAACAAAACTCATACAGAATATTTTAATATAATACAAAAGGTACTCCCTACAATAAGGAGGCCTGATGATTGACAGCAATGAAAAATATAATTGCCACACATCTTTGAACAACAAAATGACAGTTAAATTAAAGGTCAGAACCAACCTTTCCTGATGACCCAAATCAGACAGAAATTCATCAATGCGTGTTTGCAGTTCATTTCCTTCTAGATTTTTCAACTTCTTCAGTTCACTCTGGAGGAAAAACCAAAGTTCCTTAGCCCCATTTTCAATCCTCCTTCTCAGTACTTCATGGTCTTTTCCAAGGCCTTCTACTTAAAAAAAAAAAAAAAGGCATAAAAGTATCAGTATGTGTAGCTCAATTACTTGTTAAGAAGCCAATACATCTGTGACATGAAATACCAAAACACCAAAACTTGATTTAGAAATAAAATAAAACTTATCTACCAACCATCTCCGGTCCGCTTCTTATAGTTTTCTATCTGTTCTTTGGCCTTTAGAAGTTGCTCCTCTAAAGCATGTACCTTTCCTGCAGCTGGTCCCTGATCAACGGGACCATCTGGTATCCTAGGATACAGAAAATAAAGAAATTGCATTATTTATAAATATAATTATTTGATAAATTATTTGCTTTAGCAATTCAGCTCCCCTCTCATTTTTATTTCATACTGTTTTACGGATAAACTTTCATCAGATTTCCTTAAAACCAGAAGAAATTAAACATATTTGCATGAATGAGATTTTAAAAGCACAATTCCATAGAAGAAAAATAGTGCACAACACCACAGCAAGGTACGATTCAGCCTGATCCTTGTGTTGTTTACAAGAATTCCACTCACCAACAAGAACGATCCAAGGCTCTGCTGGTGAAAATAGCATCTGTGGCAGTTTAATTGTTAACCTGGCTGGAACACAAAGCCATTCTGCTCTTGAACCCTGGCCATGTGTTCTTAGAGAACCAGGGCTCCAGCACTCCATCTCCAGTTAAGTCTTCCTACACACCCACACAGGATGATTTCAATGTACTGTCTGGACTGAGAACAAGATCCAACCTTCTTAAATGTACCATTATCATGATTTTTTTATGAAAACTCTAGTATTCTAAAGTGTAGATCACCCCAAAAAAACAGCAGCAATTGTAACATCCATCTTAAATTTCTGATATGTGAGCACAGGAGAAATATGGAAATACATATCTGAAATCAGTGAGCTGTTTCATAGTTGAGATTGTTCATCATCTCAACTTGAATCCACATATTAATGAAGCAAAATTATTAAAGTTTAAAAATTAGATGCTAAGTTCTTTTTGCCTTACAATTTTAATGCAGGGAAAATAAAAGCCATTTTCATTTCAAGAGAAATTGCTTAAAAATCATTCCCCATTTTATAAGCTTTTGTAAGAGCTGACCCTAGAAAGAAAAAGAACAAGCAGAGGTGCAATGAGAAGCCTTTAGAACTGCAAAGAATACAGAATTTTTGCAGAACATGAAGATGATTCTTCCTTCATAAAGGAATATGAGCACAAAAAGCACAGGTATTCTCTCCACACAAACACACAGAGCTTCACAGCACTGTACACAGGAAGTGTCCTTGACAGACAAAAGATGCCTCCAGCACAGAGAAAACAGCGGTTTGAGGGAGCACCTTCCCTGAAAAAAAGAAATGACAGCATTCTAAATATCCTACTGAGATGTTATTAATTTTAATGTCTCTCAGGTCTGGATAACTAAATTCCAATAAAATTTCAGGAACTGATAAAAAGTTCATTTTTCCTGGAACAGCTGAAGAGAACAAATACCTTGTGTGAGCAACAGAAAGGTGCATCACATGAAGAATAGTATTTAAGCACCTTTTTTTCAACAGGGGGAAGGAGAGCTGGAAGAAGAAGCAGCTACATAGCCTGACAGAGATTTAGTAAAAAATTCTGCAGTCTTAAAGCTACCTATTGAAAGCTATCCTATCCCTATCCTACTAGGGATAATTAAATTACTGAAAAAATATTTGTGTTTTAAAACTACTATTGTAAACAAAAAGCAATTATCATTAACTGCTCATACATCTGCTTTGTCATGCACTGAAGGAACAAGTATGTCAGAACTGTGTAAAAAATCCTAATCTTAAACATGTGCACTCCCTAAATATGCTGTTTCAACAATCCATTTGTAAATTTGTATCAACAACAAACTGACTGCATTATATCCTAATGAGATACAGCATCGTATTGCCATGTCCAGGACAATACAAACAGTCCTTTAAAAAGTATATTGAAAGACAATTATGTTCTTACAGTAATTTAAAACCACCAGATGGAAATGTGTTTGTGATCTGCCAACTTGGTACCACAATTTGAGTTGTGAAGGAACAACTAACCACAAAATTACCAGAAAAAAAATGAAACAATTTATTTTGTACAAGTTACATACCCTAAAGGTAGAATCTGTGAAGAACAATAGGGTGAAAGGGTAGAAAATCATTACCATAAGAAGTCTTGAGACAGTGCACACATCCTCTTAGCATAAGGAAAGTCTGTAAAGTAGCAATTAGAGACTCCTACAGAAGGATGGTTGTGGATGATATTAAAGAAGCACAGTAATGTTGATCATTTGATACAATTAGATCTTAAAAAGGAAAGTACCATTTTGCCATTTAAGATTCATCTTCCTTTGGCACACTGCAATAAAAAAATTTATTATACTTAGACTGTTAGATAAAAGAGCTGGGATGGGGGGAGATATTCTCTAAGCTAGATTCTTGGCCTTCCAAAAATCACATCTTTTCAGGATGAAAATAAGATAGCTTATTCTTTTTTCAGTTGTGTCTCTACACCTGTTCCCTCATCAGAGTTGGAATTCCTGTCTTCCTCACTTTCATCCCACCTCAAAATTAAGGAAAATATTTTTCTCTGCAACCAGCACAGCTTGGCTGTTATTACCCTCTACTAGTACTTCAACTGTGCTGGAGATATGACAACATCTGAGGGAAAAGTGTTTGAATTAAAATCCTTGTCTAGTCTCATGGCATCCTGTATGTAGGTAACTTCTAGTGCAGGATATCCTAGTAATTATGAATAAGAATCCCTATTGAAAAACAGGAATTCTTACCAAAAAAATTTTTACCGAAGTCTTGACACCTATTTTACTTCTTAAAATACGAGAAGTGAGTTTAAAGTAAGTTCATCTAAACTAAGATGATTCTGAGCAGTGGAAAAAACAGTAAGCATCTAGTACAGAGTATCTTTCATTTATTACAATGGTAAAACTGTAAATTAAGTTATGAACACAAAATAAACACCATTATAATCCACTTAAATGGTCAGTCAAACTAATAAACCAAGTAGTGGGTTTATTTCAATTCTCAATAGTTACGAGGTGTGATGTTTGCATGCTGCTCCCTACCATCTGACAGCAAATATAAATTATCTTTTCCATAATCAACCCATCACATAAAGATACTACTGTATAATTTTAAGCATCAAAAAGATTATGTTGTAGGGATAATCTGTTTCTTCTTTGTCCCTTGTTAGTAATCTAGATTAAAAAAAAATAATTCTGTGTACATAATCCATATGACTGAAGCCACTCTCTCATCACCTTCAGGTGACAGAGGGGCAATGACAAAGCAGTGATCTCTAGTCTGGACCTCTGAAGGCAAAAAGAACCCCTTAAAATTAATCATAGTGACATTCAATTTAGCTAGAAGAACTGCCATACTGTGTAAAATAATTGTAAAAATAGTTTTTAAAACCCCATAAATTACAAAAACTATTCTAACCTTTTCCTATTTCCAAATATCTAAAAGGTTACACTAATTTATCAGCAAAAGGAAAAATGTAAGATTTCACAAGTTCACACTCAAGTACTTTCTCATTCTTTCATTTATATCCAGGTTCTTTGTATGGAGCAAGAAGGTTTATAACTAACTAAAGCCACATCAGAATTGCCTTTTCTTCTTTCACTTTTTCCTCTGCCCCAAGAAGAAAATCATGTTCAATTATTAATGAACACTAGCACACACAAACAAAAAGAACACAGGCTGTCACTTCATCCTTCTTAGATAAAGCCTCCTCAGTAAATAAAAATGAAAGAAAAGAGTCAATGTTATCTGCAAATAAAGAGCAAGCATCCCATATCAATTTAGATCAGCACGGCCCTGATCAGCACTGATTTATATCCACTGTACATCTTCCTTAACTCAGAATTGCACAAAGAACAGTAAAAAGAGCAGAGGTGCCCACCATTTAGTTCAATTATCTTCATTCTTCCAACATTAGCCTCTGCAATACCCTCAGCTTCAAACTTGAGATATTTTAAATAAATGTAGTAGAAAAGTGTACTTTAGTATTTAAATTTTTATCAACCCAAAGCTATTCTTCAATCCAAGCCTCTTTAATGCTTTCTACAGGTTTAATAGACAAAAAAAAGCTGTCCAGAGTAATTGACAGAAATACTTTAATAGAGTTGTTTATGATTAATTGATCTTGAGTTTGGATTCTCCACCACCCTCAGCAACAGCAACATTAAAGCAACTCTAGTGCTTTTTCAAAATTAAAATCTGATCTCTTCTTTCTGAAGCTACACTCAGAACTATAAGAATAATGTGCAGAGATAATGGTGTTTGGTTTTATGTGCTTGATGACATTTTGCCCTTTTCCACCTCTGTTCTGCTTTATAACACATGCTCCTAATTCAGAGTAAGAAACAGGTTATCATACTTATTAAAAGAATTGCAGGTTCCACAAAATGCAGTATTTAAAAGACTCTAGGAAGCAAATATAGTCCAAATGTGATGTATTCATAACATGAACACAGTGTGAATCCATTTAACAAGATTCTCTATTTCCCTGAGGAGAACTCTGAAATTACTGGTTCCTAAACTGCCAGGTTTATCTTCCATCAAAATACCCTAAAATATAAAGAATTGACTACCACCCAGTAATACACAAAGAAGTACATGAATACTATGGGGCATTCATGTATTGCAAAAATAAAGCAAGCTGAGTACAAGGATGAAGGCACGGCTGAAGGAACAGCGTCACAGTTTCCATCCAAGAAAATGGGACATTACAAAAGTTGTAATTTTCAACTCTCCTATTCCTAAAAGCCTTGTATCATCTAAAAACAACAGGGATAGTGTTTAGCAGTCATATCACAATCCTAGTGGTAAGTTAAACTTTTAGGTAAAACTACTGGTTTTAGGAAACAACGCTATACAATACTTTGATTTGATTATTACCTCCTCTCAAGTTTCCTTTAAATAACTACAAAAATTATCGTAAATATTTCTAGTTTTGCTGTCACACCTACTACATCTGTAATAAATGTCCTTGAAAGGGCTCTTCCAGGTCTACTGGATATAGAACAGTAAAACAACAACCTATAAAAAACTCAGATTTATTACTATTTTGCACTAATGAAATCTAGACTGCTTCTAAAATCAACCCAGATCTGCTCACACAATATTGTTTATAATCACATACATACTGTGGTAACACTCCAAACTCACTATACAATATTCATGCATATAATTTCTAAAACTCAGGAAATACAAAACACCTTTAATTCCATTTATCTTCTGTATCATTAATATACATCTGTGCCTCTTTCTAGCCCACAAGGAAGGTTTTTACAAAGCATCATATTGGCAAAAGAAAAACCATGGTAACTCCTCACCAAAGGCCTTTTAAATACACCATAAAAACTATGTAGTATGTGGTACCTGATGTAATTTCAAGTAATCAGAAGTGCACCACAAAAGTGTACTCAGTTCCCAAAGGAATATTTTTATTTCAGGCCATTTTCAAAAAGATGTGACTGTTCCAACTTGCACACTTGCAAAGGTATATCTTAGAAAATAGTGAAAAAATATGCTCACCAAAAATCCTTGCAAAAATATGAACTACTCTTAACCAATATTGGTAATAAAATATTAATTTAAATTTTAAAAATCATAAGTTCTTAAGGACATATTTTTTAAAATCAAGCATTCAAATACAAATGGTTGCAGTGTGTGGGAAATAAACCAGAATAACCCAAACAAGTACCTATCCTTGCTCTTAAAACCCTAATTCTACCCCTTATACATCTTGTATGAAATGAAGCAAGCAGGAGAAAATTACAAAATCAGATGTTATTTAAGAATCACAGAGCAAAAAAGGGTTAAGCAAAATTTTATAAAGCCTTTTCGCAGATACGATCTTTGTCAAGTTTTGAATGGTTGGTTTTGTATGCACATAAGGTATGTTCCACAAGGGACCTTTTTGGTTTCCTTTTTTGTTGTTGTCTTTGGGGATGAGGAGCTGCTACATGAATTGGCAGCAAAAGAGGAATCAAATCTCAGGGTGGAAAGATCACTTCTTTTCATTGTATGTTGGCATTCATAGAGAGAAGGATGGAAACAAGCACAGTCCAGCTCCTCTTCTCAACCATCCCCAAAGACTGACACTTTTATCAGGTGATGAGGGAGTCAGAGGAGTCACAGGAACCCATTATAATGGGAAAGCCCAAGCAATGGAAATGCCCTGAAATGCATTTTACCATTTTAACTGACAATTAAAGACAAAATACCAATTTTCTCTAACTTCAAAATGGAAATTAAAAAACTTAAGCTTTTATTAAACTACTAATTCTTGTAACCATACCTGCCTTTTGCCCCTTCCTGCCTGCCATAACTAGCCATTAGTAATATCACAACTATTCATTATGAATTTTCTAACATTCACAAAACTTCTTTGCTCACTAAAGTAAATTCTGTTAACCTGGAGCTTTTTACCATGCAGAAGTTTTATCTAATAGTGCCAAAATACTTTAACTAGTATAGTTACTAGATGTTTCTTTATTGTTCCAATTTTACAGGTTGGCACTCTCATTTTGTATAAACTCCTCCACAAGTAACTTTAAGGTCTTATTTGAAATATTCCTAATTTTTTGGGGGCATTATCTTAGCCCTGTTGCACACCATAATATATTCTATGTTTTAACCACAAAACATATACTGTTTCATCCTCTAGATAAAAATTCTTATTGGAAAAGGGCAGCAAAACCAAGTTTTTACCTCATGCCCTTTATGAGCTGTAGTGATGTAGAGAGTGCTGTCTTACCCAGTCAGATTTAACTGCCACTATCAGTTTTCAGTACAAAACAAAAAGTTCTAGCAATTAAATTATATTCAAATAATTGTTCCAGTCTTTCTGTCTTTGATCAGTAAAGCCTAAAATAAATTATATCTTTACTTTAAGATATAAACTGGAGCAAAAGTAATCTTTTCTCTCTAATGGGATTTCTGAAGTTAAGAGTTCTTTTGTTTCCATAATGTATGCTCACAGCAGCAGCGATCTCTTCCAGGACACAGATACTCAATCCATGGGCTGCTGGTTAATGTCTCATTTTAAACAGACACACTGCTACAAAACTATAAATGGGACAGTTTTAAAGCCAGCAGCTATTTTCAACACAGCTTATTTTATCTGGCAAACAAAGAAATGAGATACTGAAATCCTGTACCACATTATGATTTAATACTTTAATAACACAGGTTGACCAGGATACTTCTAAATACTATTTGTGATGTTTCTATGTAAACAGTACCATGGATTTGGCATAGTGAAAATAATGAAAAGGCCCTATATTTCATGCATCATTTCCCTCGAAGTCCAGTATTTCATACACCTGATGATCTTCCAGTCTCAAGCTGGCTCACTCCTGGAAAGAACTGACTACTGAACCTGGACATGTGTGGCTGTTCAACTGGTATTTAAAGTCATTTGGGCTTTCTCATGCTAAAATTTCAGATTCTCCTGTGGTTATGATATACAAACACTCTGAGGAAAGGTCTCAGAAATATTGTTAAATAACATATTTAGAAAAGAGCTGGATGGAGTCCAGTCAACACAGTTTTGCATCTAATTCCAGCATCCTGACACCATTAATGGAATCACAGAGAAGGAATGTTGAAATACAGTTTTTCTTTTTTTTTAATAATAGGAAATTATCAACAGTATAAGCTATTATTTAAAACTTGCCCATTAAAAATGTAATATTTATTTGAATATAGATAAGGTTAGTGAAATATAGAAAGGTATTTAGAAAAATTATCACTGCCTCAAATATAGTTTAGCCTCTCCTTACACTTAGCATCTCCTGTCTCTACTACCTCCTTCTTGAGAGGCAAACAGTACCCTGCCACCAGTAAAATCATTTACTCTCTTCTAGTCACTGTGTAATTTGAATGGGTTATATTTCAGTGACTGTGTATTTGTAAAAAAAAAAGATGATCCTACTTTTGTACAAGTATTTCTACAAGTCTAGCAGCAAGGCAAGGAAGAAAACTTAAGATAAAAGAATTTGTAAAATGCAGCAATCTATTGCAGATCATCTTCAGCAAGTCAGCATTTATCCTCAACAAGCTGTACAAATGTTTACAGCAATTTTAAAACGAGCTCTTCCAATTACTGCATGCAGAAGTATAAAGAACTAGATGTTCTAATTTGTATGAATGTCATAATAACTGCACTTGTTTGAAGTTGGCATTGAGAGGTGAACCACCTACAGAACTCTGTTATTGTGACAGTAACACTTCCACACCATTAAATGACTCCTAAGTAATGGTTACATCAGACCAGAGCTAAATGCACATTATTGATTTAAAAGTTTTGCAATATATTTTCAGCTACTTACAGCACAGATTGAAACACTTATATACACTTTTAAATGAGAAATACAATTTTGCAAAAACTCTCACAAAGAGCCCTTACAATTTAAATTCTGATATTTCATATTTCAAACATTTTTCTGAACAGTTTTAATTACTTTGAGATCCTACCTGAGAGATTCTGCCATGCGCCTTAAGTCCTCATTCTGCTGCTTTAACCGTTCAAGTTTAGCAAGGATCTTGGATAATTCCCGACTGGAGTGATCTGGGTGCTCGCTGTCTCGTACCAGGTGCCCGCCAATATAAAAGAGTAAAGTTCCCCAAGCAAAGAGGATGAGCATAATCCAACGCCAGGAACCAGTCCATGGCCGCATTTTCAGAAGTTCAATTCACTCCAGAGCTGCTTCCACTCACAAAACAGCAAACATTTTCTTAGCTTGTACAAAGGTGGGCAATTCCAGTTCCTCTGCTTCAACACATTGTACCAGGGAAAAGTTCTTTTCAGTGTTTGTCTTACTGCAACTCCTTAAATAAGATTCCTGTAAGGCTGTACATACAAAGAATATTGCATCATTCTTCATTTATATTCTGTTGGAAAAATAAAAATAAATCTGAAATTATAATTCTGATATGTAAAAATATAGTGGACTGCAATTGAGCTAAATGCATTGTCATTAGCATTCAAGAATGACAATAGTCAATGTTACTACTTTCTGTCACAGAGACAAAGGAAAAAGCTTTTAACTTTCCACAGAACATTATGCTGAATTCACAAATGAATTACAAAGAATATGCAATTAATCTTGGCTTTGAAATGGCCAGAGGAAATGCTGCTTTTTATAAGAGAAATATTTACCATTTCATGACATTAAAATAGTTTAAAATAGTTTAAAAGTCACTCTCTGATAAACTTGACATTTTTCTTTATATCAACACTTTTATTTAATTATAAATCTTTTATTAACTTTCTTCTCCATTTTTATCATGACTGCCACTCTAATAAATGAGTTATAGCCATTTTAACATTTAGTCTATTCTGCTATTTGCAAGTATTTAAAAATCAGGCATGACTTTAGAAACACTTCTCTGCTGTTTCAAAACTATCAAACCTATTTTGACAGGTTATTATTAGAACTATTAAAAAAAAAAAAAAAGCAGAAAATGCTCCAAGGGTAATAATACCTTCTCTCACAAATAAAACCACCATGCCATTTTAAAAAAATCAAAATCACCTCAGCTCATATTCTACTTGGCAAAATATCATTTGATTAGGGAAAAATTTCCTCATCTATCTAGATCAAATTTTAACTGACAGCATGTCCAGAGTCTTCTTTAAGCGCTTCTCCCCTCTCTTCCTCTTTTTCAGCAATGTAACATTTCTACTTTTTTAAAGGGCACATATATGCCATTCTGACTCAATTTTCAAACCAACCCATTTTCTGAATTCTCAAATGTCTAAATCCACTGTATTTCCTCTGAGATACCATCCATATCTACCTTCTCTCAAATTATTCTTTTCTTTTTGATCCTTCTTTCACCCTAACTTCTTTTTAATTTTATTTAGCTAATTTATTCTGTTCCAGCTAATTTAAAGTCTAGAGCAAAATCTTCCCAAATTGCAATAACTTCCAAACTCACCCAGTTATGGAAATATGCCTGGAGCACACACTTCCAGATACAATAACTCTAACCTTGAAAATGCTTAGTGTTTTCAACAGCACTCAAAATGCTGAAAAATTTCTCTAGTTATCTTGAGAAGAGGGGTAGTTTATATATGTTTAAAAGAGGCAAAAAAAAAAAAATCCACTTATGACTAGTATGATGGGACACATTTGTTTATAGAGTACTTTGCAAGGAAAATATTAACTTCATTTTCCAATCTGTTCTTCAGAAAACATGAGCTTAAGCAGACTCACAAATCACATATCTTCTCTATCAGAGGCGACGCTGGTCTGTCTCAAACACCAGTGTTAGTAGATCAGACAATCAATAATCCACAAAATTGATATAACAAGTCATCAGGAACAGACAGTATTCTTCCAACAGTTCTAAAGAAGTTAACGAATGCAATAGTTTAATTATCAACAGATCATTAATTATTAATTTAATTATGCAACCTCTTAGTTATAACAACTTTGTAGCAAAGGAATGGAAAATTTAAAAAGTAAACTGAATTATTTCTAAGAGTGACAGCAGGGAACCCTGCAATTACAGGCCAGAAAAAAATATATTCGTGTCAGCCAAACTGGCAGAAATAATAAGATGAAATAAATCTGCAGACATAAGGATGAAAGTAATCAAAGTAAAAAAGTACTAACATTACTTTTAGAAAGACAAATTGTGCCACATAAATTTATAAAAGTTCTTTTGAAGATGTAAAACAAACAACATAGGTAGGACAGAACCAGTCCTAATTGTTGCATAATTGATTAAGTCAATATGGATTTTCAAATCACATTCAACATGGTCCCCAAAATGTTCCAAAAAACCTAAGCTGGATGGAAGAAAAAAGATCGTCATGTGAGTCCCCACCCCATTAGAAGATAAAAAATGTACAGTAAGACCAGAGAATCACTTTAAGTGGAAAGAGTGAGCAAGAACCTCTCTGTACCCATGGCAGCCTTCATACAGCTTGACATATTCATAAGTGTTTGGAAAACAAGATGAAACAGAAGGTGAAAAATCTGATAGCAATGAACTGGAGGTCATCAAGATGTTTAATGAGGGAAAAAATCAGTTCTGCAGTGTGTAGAGATGATGTCTGAGGCCCATTAGGAATGGGCTTTAGCTGGGATGGGAAATTCTATAAAATGTCAGTTCAACATTGGGCTAAACGCAAAAAAGTTATCACAGGTTTTAGATTTCTAAATTCTATCCATTTTTAATTCTAAACTTTCAGATTTCTATCAAGTTCTATCAATCTCTGAAGATGTCATTATTCTTTTCATAAGTTAGGTCACAGTAGAGTTAAATATAAAATACAGATGCCAAACTAGCTGAACAAATAGGAAGAACATTCTGAAAAAAACATTTAAAAGCCTGTATCTCAAATGTGGCGTGTCTAATTATACATGAGTTCCAACAACACTTAACTATCAACTTTGTACTGTAATGTGGCTTTCACATTAATTGTTTTATTTCACACTGTTCTGGGAATGCAAAATGCCAATGTATTTGACATTTTGTCAAGGTATTTGACATTCCAGGGATGAGACATCCAGCATCCCTGGCTGCTCCATCCCTGGAAGAGTTTGAAGCCAGGCTGGATGGGACTTTGAGCCACCTGATCGAGTGAGTGGCATCCCTGCTCACAGCACAGAATTTGGAACTAGATGATCTTTAAGGTTCCTTCCAACCAAACCATTCTATCATTCTGTGATTCATTATTTCAAAGTTCACACAAGATCTTTAGATAAATCAAATTAAAGGAAAAATTATCATATTTTTAAAATTGTTTGATTTTTATGGCTTGTCTCAGGTTTCTGAAAGATCTCCACATGCAGACATATGCCACAGCTATCTGCCTGAAAGAAAGTCAAGATGTAATGTCAATATTTATACTTGTTTAACTTTCTACAGCTGTTTATGAGATTTCATACTGTAAACTAAGTTCAAGACTGCCAAGACTGAAAGTATGAGCCTTGAGTTAAAAAAAAAACCACAGCAGCAGCCCGCAAACGCAGCAATTCAAACCTGTCACGGATCATGACATGGTTATTAACACCATCTGACACTGAGCACCTAAATAAAAGTCCACCTAACCTAAAAGGTGGGGCAGAGCAGTACCAATGAATATATTTTATTAAGCAGGAGAGAGAAAAATATCTTAATAGCAGTCACTAGTGCTATTAGAAATTTATGCTATAATTATATAGTGAAGGTCCTTTATCTAAGAATATTACATGACTTTTATTTTACCAGAGAAAGCCATGAATTTTAATTTAGTAGTTACTTATCTCCTGAGCTTCACCATGATTTCTTGTCTTACATTTGATTAGATTTACCCATACCCTTGCATTTTCCAGGGCATAAGCACATCAAAACACAGTATATTGGCAATTAGCTAATTTTTTTCCCTTCAACTTTAGGTTAGTTCTTGTTTCCTTTCTAGGGGATCCTGAGAATGGTTGACTACATTCTTGCAATGTTACTCTCTAAAATAATGTAAAAAAATATCTCTTACCTCTTTCAAAAGGCTAACCCTGGATATATGGAGTGAAAAAGAATGTATTTATTCCTCTATTCTCCCCAGCAGCTCTAAAGCAATCTTTCAAGCTAATTTTCTTTACAAATTTCATCACTACACACAGTTAAGAGGGTTTTTCAACCTGATCCCTCAGGTAAATCATCTTCCACATATAGGAGCCCAGCTACCAGCCATGGAAATCCCAGTCACAGGTGCTAGGGATGGATGGAAAGGCAAAGCTCAGTCCAAGAAGCAGCTGACATCAGTACAGTAAATCAAAGCCAGCTTTAATGCCAGCATCAGTGTGGTGGGACTGCAGATGCCACAGAGAAATTGGTAACCTTCAGTCATTCCTGAATGTATGCTTGTAAAGACACAATTTTTAGCCGCCATGAAATAAAGCAATTTAGTATGACATCAACAGTGCAAAATCTTCAATATACAAATTTAAAAGGTCTCCTGGTTCTCTAAGAGAGAAGATGAAATGGCTACAGGCATCTATAAAATTTTCTCAATATAATGAGAAATAAACAGCACATTGATGTTGATTAAAATTAATGCTTTTTGTTTTTAAGTGTAGGAGTCCTCTGTCATTCCTTAAAAATTGATTTGTTACTTCAGCTACTAAAGACATCAAACCAATATCAGGAAAAAGTTTTGTAGAATAAGAATGAACTAACATTAAAAGCAAATGCTAAGTTGAAAGTATCACGTACAGTAAGCTATTCTTCAGGTTTAATTTACTCTTGTAGGTCTATTATAAAAAGTCACTACAAAATGTGCAGCATTATCTAATGAAACAAAATAGGTCTGGTAAGTAGTAGCTACCATAAATCATTGGGAATACATAATGTTCAATGCATCAGTTGAATGAAAAATAACACTGTGAGAAAGGAACTCAAGTTAAAATTTATTTATTGTAAGTGCATAGCACAGAAAATGTGGTTAGTGTCACAAACTTATTTAGACTCCATGTAGAGGAGACAGAACATTTACCTAAAAATAAGTGTCTGCTTCAAGCCTTAATTGGGAAATCAAATTGTGCATACTACACATGTAAGCCACAGACGATTGTAAGAATGTGAAAATGTTTTGCTGCTAAATTAACAGGAAAAATCTGGTTAAAAAACATTGCTTCAATGCAATGGAATGCACTGAATGACTAAGTGAAAATGACTAAATGAAACATTAAAGAAACTTGATTAAATTGATAACTAGAAAAAGAGACTGAAGCATAGCACCAATATCTTAATGAGAAATAATGTGCATCCATGTCAAAGTTATTTTGCTACAGCAAAAATTAGTAATAAAAAACCCAAACAAACCAAAAACAAACAAGAACAACAAAAAAAACTCCACACCATAGTGCCTTTCTTCATCTTGCTCCCATAAAGCCTTCAAGTTATTTTAAAGCTTTAAAAGGTACTTAAGAATTAGAAAATTGAGTAGCCCAATACTATATAATTTCAAATGCAAGGTTTCTTATGACTTAAATAAGGTTCTTTTTAATGTACTATTTCAAACATGCTTTCAATAGTAAATTCAGTGACGCTGTGTGTATTTTCTCCTTGTGTATTTTTGCTTCCTACAGAATTACGGCCCCAGAATAGCATTATGATTTTTCTTGGCAATGTTTAAAGTTATTTCAGATTAAATTCAAAGCAAACTAAGCAAGTCTACTTTTGGCTGAACCACCTACTGGACTAGATTCACTAAAAAAAAAGTATACCTTATGTAAGCTGAAAAGCAGAAAACAACTCATGAAGTAAAGCACACACATCACTATAGCTAACATACAAAGCACTATATTTAAGCCATGTACATCACCTAAAATTGTACAAGGTACGAAACATGAAATTCATTCCACTCTAAGAGTTATCACAATGACTTACCACTAAATGTGAAACGCTCAAAAAGCATGTTATACCCAACATACAACTTAGATTGAACTCTGACACCATTCTCAGTTTCCCTTTAAAGTAAACTTAAATTAGTATTTTTAAGATTTTGTATTTTTAAGATTAACAAAACTGAACTAACAAAAATTACCTTCTTAGGAAAGCATTCTACTCTAAGTAATGTTAGCCTGTTGTGCTCCCATAAAAATGAAAATTAAAACCAACTTTCTGATTTCAGTTCCTATTTAAGAATAATGTGATTGCACAGCCTCTGACAAAGGATTGGAGCCTACGGAAATAATCCTTTTAGGATATTAAAATAAAACTAAGGATCAAAGGACAAAAGTAACAAGTAAATCCTTCTGTAGTGTTTGATAAAAATAAGCAAACCTTACAAATATTATTCACGGGGTATGCAATGCATTCTTTATGAAGACTTACACAGTAATTCAATCAGAATTCTGCATGTAACACAAGGCAGTGCTGGTGTCTCGCATGAACCAAATACTTGTTTTTCTCTCTTGGACCTGCCTACTGTGATGTACCCCAAAACAGGATTTCTCTTTTCATGGCTGCATTGCTCTGGCAGTCAGCAACCATTTTACAAGGACGTAATACATTCAAACCTTTTTGCATCTATCTCTCTTCAAATTTATAAGCTTCCGTCTTATATAGAGAAATTCGTATTTTTTCATCCTTTTAACTGTATGTTATTACACTTTAATCCATTCTACCTCTCCAGTATCCCAAGTAAAAAATTCTTGTACATTTTTCAGAACCCTCCTCTATTTTGTGACCTATATTTCATTATGAGCTATTATATTTTTGTGACATTGTCACTACTGCAAACGTCCAAGATGAGTAACACATGTAATCCACTGCAGTAATAGGATCTCTCCTCCAGACGGATACTCTTCCTAGCAGCACAAGCCTCTGTCACTTCATCCCTTCAGCTACTTCCTTTCCCAACAAATGATTCTATTTTTCACCCACAATCTCTCTCAGTCAATACAGAACTTTCTATGTGCCAAGAAATGCTGAAAGGGATACATAGATATTATCTGCCCAACTGTGTTTCACTGGGAAATTGACCACATTGAAACAGTTAGCAAGTAAACCCAGAAAAAACAGATCAAAAAATCTTTGATAACAAACCTATATTGCATTCATCTAATTTCCCATTTTTATCTACCTCTACTTTGTTAACTGTAATTTCTTTGAAATTTGCCCCCATGCTTTGCACACTATTGTGATCAAGCCAGGACTGGTAATTATTTCTAATTCCAGCATTCATATATATCAATCCCAAGAGACCTTTTCCCATTTAGTTGCAAACATTTTAGAATCGTGACTGGAAACAATTTGGAAGTATTTCATTCATCTATAACTTTTTAATTACCTTTATTAACATACAAATTATATCTATTGTTTTCTTCAACTAGAGAACAGAAACCCATTCACAGAGCACGTATTAATGTTTGCATTCTACAAATATCCAAAATGAAATTCATTTCGTTTCCTAGTCAAGCTCACTGTTTTAGTTATATGTTTTTCTCCCCATAAAAACTCTCCACTTTCTTTTTTTTCTGGAACAAGGACATAAAATTTGTAGTATTCCATATATATACTTAATTATTGGAGAAATTTACTTATTTTTTCTTGCCTTCTATTCACCTGTATCAGAGGCCATAAACTGACAATCATTAGACTTGCTCACTATTTACTTGTACATCCACAACTCCTTCTTTACTACTGTTTCTTTCTGTAAATGTCTAATTTTATAACTGCACAAATTGCTCTGAGCAATTTGATATTTTCTTCAAATAGTTCCTTATAATTGTGCATGAATAAATACAATCTCTGCATCTGATACAATCTGCAGATTATCTCAAATTAAACATTTGAGAAGGAAAAGATGGTACTGAGGGACTTCCTTACCTGTGCAAAAGCTACAGGCCCACTCATTTGGTGAGAAAACAAAAGCTTAACTAATCACAGAAAGCTTTGGAGAAACACACAATGTGATTTATCCTTCCTGAAATTTTGCTGAAGAGGTTCTGTCACTGAACGTAGAAACTGAATGATTTTTCATACTTCCCGAGATTATGAAGAAGGTAAATTGCTAGGACTTGAGGAATTAAAACCTCAAGTCTAAAAGCAAGATTATCAACTTGAGAAGATTCATCTGAAGATTCATTTAGCAGCTTTAGCAGAATACATATTATAATACAGACTAAAACATTCAAAGCAGAGGAATGAAGGGAAAGATTCTAGTATTATTTTCAGAGCTTATAGTGTGTATTTGATGTAAAATGCTCAGCTGAGCAGCATGAAAACTATTTTCAATTTAACTGCATAGCATTTTATACCTGAAAACAATTTTGCAGAAATTTGAAAACATCTTCAGAATGGAAGGTAGAGGAATAAATAGACAAATATTCACAATGACCAATTATTAATCTTGTGTCAAATTTATTCTTCTTCAAATCAAAAGGATGAGCACACATAGAATACAAACTGAGAGATGACCAACAGCTCAAGAGTTGATGCATTTGCAACCAAAGTAGCATCAATAAATTCCCAAAAATGACCGACGATCAGTGAAGACATGACAGAAATCACCAAGCCAAGGTGGCTACTGCTTTTTTCCAGTTCTTAACACGGTGTGTAGCAGAAAAACTGAAGCTGAGAGAATAATAAGTGCAATTTCCCTCACAAGTGTAAGTTCAATCAGAATCATGTAGGAAAGTAATTAAGGAATGTATGCCATTATTTCCTATAAGCCTCCTCCTCCTCCTCCATCAGTGATCCCTAACCACCACAAATACCTGAGCTGTTATCAAGAATAGTAATCTTTGAAGCACTGAACAAGGTCTTAGCTCTTTCAACCCAAAAGAATTTCTAGTATTACTTTCTATTTTACTATATTCCTTTATGTTGTCTCCTTGATGTTCAAAATGGTACAAATTCTCCAGGTAATTTCTGGATTTTTATCCTCAAGTCTAAATATCCACCATTAAGGAAAAAAAAACCAAATAAAACCAAAAATTAAGCCAAAACAAACAAAAAAATTCCACAAAGCCACATAGTTAGGAAGTTAAGTTTACATTAACATCAGATGTTAATGGAAATGATTCCTCAAAAAAAAAAAAGTGGTTATAATAAATATGAATGTTTGATGCAAAAATTTTGACAAATCGAAGTAGAAAAGATTGATTCAAAATATCTAGAAAAATAAAACTGCAAGACAATTTCTAGTTATTAGTTTTTCATGATAAAAAAAAAAAATCATTATTAAAAGTTCCCACAATAGCTTATTTTTCACAACATGTTACATTGGATTAAATTCCTTGTGTTTAGTACATCACATGGTCACACAGGTGAAAGTGCAGCAAAAAGTGTCAGTGAAGTCCCCATCCCTGCAGGCTCGGCAAAGACCCAAGCAGTGCACTCCAATAAACCCTACTTTGATCGCTGGTATTGGACTAGAAGATCCCCAAAGAAACTTTCCAAAGCTAACTGTGATTTGATTCCATGAAATAAAAGAAGTTTTACGGATTTTGGTGTGTAAAAAATATTATTTTAAAAGGCATAACATTCAAACGTACAATGTATTTCATTGGTCACATAAATAGGAATACATTTTAAAAAAATCCGAACTTGATAATACACATGAAGAACAGCTTACCCTCTCTGTGACAGCAGGAAATAAACACAACTGCATCATGGAGGTTGGAGGTTACCAAGTAATTCCACTATTCCAGCAGTCAGTGAAATTAGTAACTGTTTGAAAGAAAAAAAGAAAGTGCCTTTAATTTCACATTCAGTAAGAACAACTTCTTTTTGATTCACTCTTTATCATAACAGTGAGAAAGAACCTAATATTTTATTTTAAAATACCACATTTTCTACTCGTTATTTAGCTAATCACGGATTATCCATGAAGATCAATCACTCAATCAGAATATTTTTAACTACCATCTTTCATTATATCTTGGATTAGATACAATGTGATCTAGGAACCAAAGAATTAAATCAAAGAATATTTTAGGCTCTGTATTGATTTAATAAGTAAATTTTACAAGTCAGTCTCACCAGGCCCCAATTTCCCTTGTTAATATTTGCCAACTTCAAAATTATGTTTGAAGTTGATTCATTAATATTTACAGATACCATCAAATTTGCAGCTGAAAGATGTTATACATGTTGAATGAAAGATATAAATCTGCATAATCAATTAAAGCAGTTCAGCCATTTAGCAGTTTTGTCAAATAATTGTTTCCCCATCTCTAAGTGTTACTCCCTGTTCAAAATACCAGGCAAAACTTTGAAATGGAAAAAAAAAAAAAAAATTCAAGATAAATTAACTTTAATTTTAATAAAATTAATAGAAGAATACTAATATATTATTTAATATATTTTATCTTTTATGTATTTTTATAATTTATAAAAATTATGAATATATTAAGAAAACCTTGGAAAGAATTTTCTTTCAATCAAAATTTTAAAAGTCACAAGAATAATCACTGGAGAAATCACAGATCTGGAGATTTGGCAAAAACAAAATACAAATAAGTTGAACAGCTATTTAAAAGTATTCCATAGCAAAAGAATACAACTTCCAAAATTTCAAGGAAATTCCCGTTATCTTTCAAAGAAAGATAAGCTATCTTCATACAGTTCAAGGCTTAAAGGCACTGAATTAATTGTGAGCAAGTAGAAGCAACAGTAGACTCACAATGACAATGTGGGCAGAGAAAATACTGTAAAAACTTTTTCCTTCTTCTTTCTTTCTTATTCACTGAGTTTGCAATACTTAAAGTGTTAATTATCCTGTTATTCTAATAAAACTTGGCACATTTTCAATTAAAAACCATTTGGTTTCCTTTGAGGAGCTAATTACATGGAGAACACCTAAGGTGAACCACATAAAAATGATGGCAAACTCAGGTCCTATGCCCCTGTAGTTATTAAATTTATTTCTACTGGAAGAAAAAAAACCCCAAAGCACACACACACAATAACAAAAACCACAATGGAGTAAAGTACTAATCCTACTTCAACTACATAGCTTCTGGTCAGAAATAAAAAACAAACAATCAAAAGACCAATTTAGGTACTTTTAGTATCAGAGACCAAATATTCCTCAAAATTATGCTATATGAACACCTAAAGGCTCAGTTATCTCAACAGCAGTGGCTCAGAGAAGTCCATACCCACAGCACTTGGGGGCTTTTAAGCTAAAGCTATACATAGAACATTGACCTTGAAAGAGTTTATCAGCAGTTAAGAATCTAATCAGAAGTAATGACTTTTCTAAACTAGATAAAAGAATCAACAGTACATCAACAGTAACAAATACAGTTTGAAAATAATAAGCACTCCTTCATATTAGATACAGTAATAAATATAAGTGCTCATAATTCTTGTAACATATTACATTTGAACACTTCAAAAACGATACAGTAATTTCTCCCTTTTTTTTACAATCAATTTTATTTTGAACAAAAGACTGAATTGTACCTTGAAAGAAAAAGAGCAGTGTACTTGTCAAATACATGTAAGATTTTCTGTCAAACAGACAAAAATTTATTGGTGATTCTTCTTTTAGAAAGATAAAAGAGTCAATTGCAGAAACAATGCACTCCTCCAAAGAAATTATACATACAGACTCATTTTAATAAGCAATGGATAAAGCAGCTTTCAGTTTTACAGTCCTTTTTAATTCCTAAGATAATACATTAACCAGAAACACAGTGAAGTGAGAAGTTACCTTTGTTTAACCTGAACTAATGGAATGTCTTTGTAAAATAAAAATTGCCTCAGAAAATGAGCAGGACAATCACATGATAGTAAAGGTTTCTTTTTTCTCATTTACTGACTGTATTGACTCCATACAACCCTATTCTAATATAACCACAGTCAATGAATAATAAAAATTCAAATCTCTAACATCAAGCGTGATCTTCCTCCATAGTATTAAGTTAATAATCTACTGATAATCCTTGCAGAAGCCTCAGTCCAAAAAAAAATCAGGAAGAGAATCTTTGGAAGCAATGAAGTAAAAAAAACAGACTATAGAAGGACGTAACTTGTGTCTTATAAAAAGAAAGAATTGTTGACATTGAATTGTTTCTTACACTAACAAACACAAAATTTGGGGAACAGGAGTTCCACCTGGAAAACTTTGGCTCATGAGGTAGGAGAAAGTACTTTCTAAACATCTAAGTGCAAAACAGATAAAGGAAACAGTCACTGAGACAGATGATTTCATTAAGTAATGGATTCCCTTTTAATTGCACATTCCCTTTTAACTGGAGCACCAAAAATGCTTTCAAAAATAAACAGCAGTTGAATCAAGAAGCTGAACAGACTAGCGCTTTCAGCCCTGCATTAGTTATTTGAGAGTTAACAAACAGAAATGTTGCACCCCTTTCTTAACAGAACTTAACAAAACTCCTGTTTCAGTGCTCATCTGGGACCAAAACACACTACCTCTTCTCAGGGAAAGTGCAGCTCCCTATCAGTAGAAAAATCTGGATACCTTGGGAAAGGAACAGAAAAGGAGAAAAAAAAAAAACAATGGACAACCTTAAGGTAATATTTGACTTTTCCATTCTTGTTTCTGCTGAAGCGCTCCACTAAATTTTCTCTTATTTTCTACTAGCTTCCTGTGTCATTCCTTAATGGCTGCAAACATCAGAAGCAAGATCAGAGGTAAGATCTTTCCTCTTTTGGCTGGCATCAAAGCAACATGCAAAAATCTAATAACCAGGAAACTTAACATCAGTCTGTTCACAACTCAGCTGGATGTTTATAAATCAAGATGAAAAACAGGCAGATGAGAGAGCTGCTGAGTTTGTAATAGTTATGCAAAAATGCATGACACTTGGCAGCCATAAGAAAACTGAAGTGATATTTGCAACCAGGAGGTTTTGCTCAGGGAAAAAGAGTGTCAAATGGGATCATTAACTAAATAATCAGACTTGTTTTGTATCACCATTTTGTAGCTCAAATTGAACAATGTTTTATGCAGTACTTTTATTAGAGCAAGAAAATCTTTACTGGGGATTGCAAATAGGAATATTGCCATATGATAAAGAAGTATCTGCCTTAACTTTAATTCCAATCCACCAAAATATCCAAATCTTAGCCTGTAAAAATTTCCCTTGGCACTCCAGTTTTCTTTTACTTGGGATACAGAACCTTACACACTAAAAAGCACTAAAAAAAGGCACCTAATGAGTTAATTCAAGTATGGGAAGCAATTTACTTGCATTAGCATATAGGTTCATGTCTAATTTACACTGGTTTACAGCTTTTGTAGAGCTCCATGGCACCAAAAGTTGATTACTTTCTGCATGTGATCATCACCATGGCTCAAGCATACCACTGATCTAAGATATTCATTTATTTAAAAGTGAAGGTATTGAAAAACTCAAAGCACTTTTCACAATAGTAAGGCTATGAATAAAACAGCTGTGAAGTTGCAAGTCAAAACCTCACATAATGCTGCCAATGCCTTTTCCTCTCAAAATTGGTGTGACACATTGTTATGGAAAAATGACAGGTGAGTTTAAAACCTCCTGAGTTTAAAACAGCTTTGAAATTATTAGCTTTTTGCTTAGCTTCTCTTATGTCCTTTTAAACTTAATAGTTTAAGTTTATACTGTTAATCAGAATTCCCATTTTTATTTATAACAACTATCACCAATGCATAACTTTGCCATCAAACCATGGAAAGTGTTAGCAACTATCAGATTTAATGAGTGAGCTATTTTCTTTTATATTCAAGATGGGATTTTGGGATTTTTGTGTCTATGTGCCCAGATATATATAACTTTTTTTTCAGCAATTAAAGCAAGCTAGGTGTTTTTTACCAAACAATACCTTATTTTTGAATCTAAACATTCTAAAAATAAGATTTAAAATTAATTTTCCATATAAAGTTGTAATTATTAAAGCAATATTAATACTTTACAGTAAAAAAATACTTAAAAGCCAAATTTGTAGATGTTCTCAAAGGTAATGCTAGTGAAATCCCATTCAAGTATGTCAGACAGATAATAAGTAATAAAATGCAGGATTTTAAATCACTATTTGAATCAATCTGGAAGTCAAGCACTTGTAGAAAAAACCTGAAATCTTATTATTCTTACTATTTCCTAAGCAAACCTACATAGTCACACAGCCATTTACTTCATAGAATAATTGTGTATAAACTTATTATTTGTGAGAAAAGCAGTATTTTCCTTTGTGGTGAACACATTATATTAAGGATGTGACTATTGTATCCAGAGGCTCCTCTGTTTAGCCGTTCTCCAGCAGTACCTCACAATTCCTTAACTCTCAAGTTAGGCTTTTTACACCTACTCTTTTATAACAGGTATTACATTCTTGTTCCTACTTTCAGTGTAGGCTTTTTCTGGCCCTTCAGCTTCCTTCATTTCTGAATAGCTCAGGCTAATTTTAGCAACAGTAACAAGAAAATAATCAAGGATTTCCATTATCCCCCATACAGGAATTTAAAAGAGCTCTCCATGGTTCTGAGCTACCTCCTGTGAGAATCACACACACTCCACACCCATTTTTTACTCAAGAGTCTGGCTAAGGCCCAAACACAGATAGTAGGCTTCTGGTTTATAAATCTTTGTCTTCTTTTTAAGGCAAGCAAACCTGCTTTAGCAAATTGAGTCTCAGGATAGAATAGCATAGTAATTTAAAGGAGAGTCTGGATGGCATTTGGAGTTCAGTTCCACAAGGAAGGAGGTGCATAAAGGATC